ACATAGTTAGCAAGTCAACCATAGATGGAGGATTCTAAGCTGATGATTTATGCATATAGATTGTTTAACTCGTTCTCGAATTCTCGAGTTCCTTGAGTCGAGGTCGATGATGGGGCCAATGTTTTGTACTTTTGGGTGGCGATCTCAATGTATTCTGAAGTATATTCTGTATAGATATTGGCCCCATTATCGTAGTCAACCTCTTTATCCCTTGGGCGCACCTGCAAGATCTCAAAGGTATTGCAAGTGGGGGCAAGTTCAGGTCCATTTGATCCCTCAACCAAGGTCACATTCAGATACCCTTCGGCTGTCGCGTTGTAAACAACCTATCTATAGTATGATCCTGTTGCCGATATTTCAAAAATCTCCTCTTTCTTCTCATCGTTGATGTAAATATCAAACACCCTTTCCAATTCTAACAGTGTCATTTAGCACAAGAAACTAGAGGATCACAGTGTAGTTATAGTCCACATTATCAAGGTCATTTTTTATGTAATTTTTAATATTATCCAGGTTATTTTGAAGGAGCTCCATTCACAAACATAGAATTTAAATATCTGACGTTACTTAAAGGATTTAATGTATCATCCCAACTAGTTGTACTTGTTAGTAATAATTTCTTTATATTATAAAATAATTCTATTATAGTTTTATAGTTTTTAAAATAATTATGTAGTATTTTAGAATTTAATAAAAATATATTTCTACACTTTTAATAATATTTAAACTTTTATATTTTAGCCGATAAAAAATAAATTTTAGAACTTTCGAAAAAAACAATTTAGTATTTTTATAGCTTTTAAAATATTTTTAGATTTTTTTCGTTTTAAAATAATTTTTAAAATAAAATTTAAAAATACTGTATGATAGTACTAAAGTACGCCATATGATAAATAATCTAAAGTGATTAAGATTTAACTGTTAAAATTGATTAAAAATTTAATTTATATGAAAACTGATCATGAGACTTTTAGTATAACAGTTTAAATACTTGATTAAATTCTTTAGTATAACAATTTAATTGAATATAAAAAAATTAAAAGAATAAATTATTTAAATAATAATAATTTAAATTTTTACTAGTTGTGATTGGTAGGGGTTAGTTAAACTTGATTCGACTCGAAAAATAGATTTTTTTATACGACTCGAATTTACTTTGAGTTGTAATTTCATAAACTTGACTCAACTAAAAAAATCAAGTTCAAATCAAGTTGCATTTTGCAACTCGAATAACTTGAAAATTTTAGTAATTAGTTTATTGATTTTCAAGTTTGAATCAGTTTTTTACTATGTATGATATATGAATATCACATATAAAAAAATGAATAAATATATATGTATTATATATAGTTATAAAAAATAATTAAAATTAAAATAAAATAATATCATAATATTATAAATATTTATAATTAAATTTAAACAAAAACCTAAAAAATTGATTCAACTTGAAAAAAAATTCAAATAAACTTTCAGTTATAAAATAAAACTCGCTATTTCGAACCACTTAAAATTTTTAACTCTCCTTCCTAGTGATTGGGTGACCACTTAAAAAGCCCACCCTTGCATCACGGCGTCAGAATAATTAAAATCATGGACCTAATGGTCACTATAATGTATAATTAGTTTATCCTCCTCCAGGCTGACATGGTAAAGCAATTTTCGTACAATTTTAGCTGAACCGAAACCCTTTGTTTTAGCTAATCCACCTGTCTATATCATGATACTTGAAGGAACGTGAAGAATAAGAGGAAACAATAAAAAAAAGATTAATGACCGAAAATATTTTATAATATATAATTTTAATTAATTTTTTTTAATTTACGATAATGACTAATAAATTCACATCGCGAACTTTAATTTCAAAACACAGTTTTTAAATTCGCAACACGAATATATAAATCGTAACGCGAATTTGTAATTCGCAACACAAAAGTCAAATTCACAAAGTGTGTTTATTTTCGCAACGTGAATTTTATTTTCGAATTCGAAACACAATATTAATTTCGCAACACAAATGTAAACAATATAATCGCAACTCATAACCTAAACTCAAAATCACAACTCAGTCTCATCTCCATCTCTCACTCTCTACGGCGATATCCGTCCCCATCTCTAGTGAAATTCGTCCCCATCTCCGGCGAAATTCGTCTATCTCCATCTCTTAGAGCCACACTCACAACCATTCACGGCCACAAATGGGAAATCAACCACTGAAGTTAGTTTTTTTTAATTATTTTTATTTTAAAATTTTTGTATTATTATTAGATTTTTTATATTTAAATTGATGATAAATTTACTGGTAATTTCAATATATAGATTAACCATTTCACTTAGATTGCTTAGTAAATTCATTTGGTTGCTGCCAATACTGCTAAACTGTTTAGTCTTTAACCCTGTGAAGTTAGTATTTGTCTTTGTTTTGTCTTTTGGTTGAAGTAATGCAATTCATTCAAGTTTCAATTTGCAGAAGAATAGTTTTTGAAACTTAAATTCGCAACACGAAAATGAAATTTGCAACACGAAAATCGCAACGCGATTTCATTTTCGCGTTGCGATTTTCAGAAACTACTCTTCTTCTGCAAATTGAAACTTGAATGAATTGCATTATTTTAACCAAAAAACTATGATAGAATAATGACTTGGGTGAATACTGTGCTAGTTTGAAACATATTTGGCTTTGTTTTCACTGTTTAATATCATGTCTGTTTATAGTGTATTATTTATAGTTTTTGGTATATCTAACTTGGTATGTTTATTGTTTTTGTTGTAAATTTTTTTTCGGCTTCATTGATTCTAAGGAATAAATTAAGCCTAGTCACTACAATAGCGTCGATACTTACACCTGTACAAAGAAAATTGTTTGAGGATACTGACTTCGGGCCATGGCTGAAAGTACAACATCCAGGTGGAGATGCTATGTTAACCCATTTGTTTCTTCAGACCATGACTAACGATCTACCCGAGAGGATACAACGTGGTGATGAAGAGATATGATTTCATTTTCCACCGGCGTATATTTGTTTTGGGCGGGAGGAGTTTTGCTTAATCACTGGTCTACGTTTAGGACACGATGAAGTAGGTCGGTACATTAGTTATATCGCCCGCCCATCATGGTTATCTCAGGTTTTTCCTGAGCTGGCAAAGGCGAAGCCCAGTTTACACGTCGACGACTTGAAAAGATTACTTCTTAAAGATGGTTTTACTCGGATGGATGGCCTTGATGTTGTCCGAGTATGCCTTTTATTACTTTTGAATGCCGGCTTTTTAGGCAAAGAGGTCAGACAACCTATTTCTGATGACCTAATATTATTGGTAGAGGACCTAAATGCATGAAACGTGTTTCCCTGGGGTTCATATCTATGGAAAGCTACTTGGAAAAAGTTGTCGTATGCCTTTAAGGACCGTCGTAGTTTGCGTGGCGATGGGTCCAAATACACTTTGGTAAGCTTTATTTGGGCCTTTAAGGTAAGAATTTCTATATAATGTTTCCAAAATTATAATTAATTATTTAACAATTACTAATGTTTGTGTATTATATTGTTTGTAGATTTGGATATTTGAGGCTTTTCCCAGTATGCGGACATATGTAAGAAAAAATTCAAATGATATTCCTAAGGCTATTACTTGGAGGAGGATCCTACTGTTGGATTGGGAAGATTTACTACCATATACGACGATGAATGATGTAAGTTAACACAAATACTACCATATATAAACAAGTTATTACTAGTAGACATTTAACTTTGTTTGAGCTTTTATATTATTAGGAGGCCAACTATTCATTACAGAGGCTGACACCCACAGAGGCTGAGCTTGCCACTGATTGGTGGCAAGCTAGTAAGCATTTTTTTATGGGATGGATGATAAGCACCCCCCACTTCGAGAGCCATCACCTGATCGAGCCGATTCTACAGCTCAACACCCAGAGCCATCACCTGATCGAGCCGATTATACACCTCCACAACGAGAGCCATCACCTATTCCATCACATCATCGAGCCTCTTCTCCACCATCACCTCATGATAGGCGACCGACAAAGATGCCACGACATTTATCTCCCTGTACTCCACCTCCACGGGATGAGTTTGGGGAGTTACATGATGAGGTCAGTGCTTTGCGTGATGGGGTCAGTACTTTACGTGACGACAATGGTGCATGGCTAGGGATGTCAAAAAAACCCGAACCCGATGGGGAAAACCAAAAACTGAATTAAACGGGGATGGGGAAAAACCGTTTATGCTAAACGGGGATGGGGACGGGGACGGGGATGGGTTTAGTAATCCCCGCCCCGATTACCCGATTGCCCGGCCCGATACCCAGCCCAATAAATATTAAAAACAATTATTATTATATATATATATATATATATATATATATATATTAATAAATTTAAATTAAATTAAAATATATATATATATATAATATTTATATATTTAATTTAAATATATATACCCGACCCGATACCCTTTTAAATAACCGTTTATGCTAAACGGGGATACCCGTTTTCCCGCGGTTTTTCCCGATTACCCGATGGGGATCCCCATTTAAATCCCTGTGGTTTTTTAAGCGGGGATGGGTATAGGTTTTTTAAACAGGTATTGGGGGCCCGAACCCGGCCCGTTGCCATCCCTATGCATGGCGTGATGAGGTACGGTCTTTACGTGGTGAGGTAGATGTTTTACGCAATGACAATGGTGCTTTATGCGGTGAGGTATCTACTTTACGTGTTGAGGTAGCCACTCTACGTGAGATTGTTTCATCGTTGCAGAATAAGGTTCATACTCTACGCAATGAGGTAAGTTTGTTTAATACTATACTAAAAATGCAAATAACCTTTTTTTGTTATTTATTTATTTATTTACTGATTTATGTATTAATTTATTTTTAGCGGCCCGATAAGGTAGATGTTTTATGTCAGGTTTTTCTTGTACGATGGGGTTCACGCATCAAACGTCGTACACGTGTCATTATATCTCCTTTCACCCCAATAGTGCCAAGACTCCGTAAGAAGAAGCTTGATTCACCTATTATCATTCAAGAGGCCCCTACCACCGTTCAAGAGGCCCCTGTCATCGTTCAAGAGGTTTCTCCCACCATTCAAGAGCCCGATTCGCATGGCATACTATGTCGACATATTGATAAACCCCCTCACGTGCCCGATATGATGGATGAGAGTTGGCTTTCGTATGAGTTACCGGCCAGTATCATTCCTCAGCAGGAGAGGAGAACACTATCAGACACAATTATGGATAATACCCTTTGGGCTAAGACCACAGTTGATTTTTATCTACATGAGCAGAGCCAAGGGTGTTATGCCGACATATACAAAATCGACGATAGTATGCATTTGTTTCTTGATCGGTCTTGGTAGGGTGTTTTATTAGAGGTTTAAGAGAATGGTTATTTCGAATGAGGGGTAAGTCTTATATTCTTCTTATATTGCATTTTGATTATTTTTTTAAAAATTTATTAAATTCATTAATATATGTATTTTTTTATCCACAACATATTGATGCATATGTGTCACGTCTTCTGATTATAAGGAAATTGAAGAAAATAAAAAAGACGCGATGGACTGTTATGCCTTCGTTTTTTCACGTAGCTCACTTGAATGATCAGAGAGACGCTTCATATGCGTTGGGTAATGGAAAAGCTAAGCTTTATCCTGCATGGTAAGATGTCGATAAGGTTAGTATTTATTTTTGAATATTTTAAAGGTGTTCATAAATTTTATTTGATATGCGTAATTGAATTATTATTTATGATTGCAGGTGTTTATCCCTGTTATAGAACGTCGTCATTGGCTTCTTGTCGAGCTTCAGCTCCCATCCCTGAAGACGATAGTATATGACAGCATGTTGAATTACATATTATTGTCTGATTTGAAAGATATTATTTGCAAGTGATGTAGCGCTCATTTGGCTAAATACTTGGACGCAATTAATTATTGGACTAATTCTGGAAACAAAAAGTCAAAAAAGTTCAAAGTTACAATGATGAGAGACGAGACAATGCCACAACAAATGGCGGGAGCCAGAGGGGATTATGGTCCTCTTGTATGCATGTGCTTGGAACGTTTGACGACAGAAGGTAAATAGTTTCTACCTCCCACAGATAGAGATAGAGGTGCAGTAGGGTTGTGGTTTCATCATTTTATGGCTAGAGCGATATATTCGAGACATTGCCTACCTGTATCCGCGTGCTGAAAGTGTGCATAAACAACCATTTGTTATTGGTAAGTTTAAGCAAGCGTTGTTAACATATATACTCTTTGTTGGTTTGAAAATGTTTGGTTAAGTACCTAGAATTCAATAATTTGTTGTTTGTTGGTTTTAGATGTGTAGAAAGTGTTGTTTAAGCAAATGTTTGGTTTCTGCAGGTTAATCCTGAAGTGAGATGAGTGAATGTATTTGGATGTAAGCTCCCTATTGTTATGAGCATTTGGATGTACTGTTTGGGGTTAATTATATCAATGTGTTGTTGATTTGTTTTTTTAGATGTGTAAATAAGAATTGTTTTTTTCTTGTTTAAAGATTTGTAAAATTTGATTTGTTGTTTAAGAAAGAAGAAAATTTCAATCTGCATTATATTGAAGGCAAAAAAGACATGTTGAATGTACACTTTCGCAACGCGAAAGTAAAATTCGCGTTGGGATTTTCGCGTTGCGAATTTGATTTTTGTGTTGCGAATTTTACATTCATGTTTCAAATTTGACTTTCGCAACGCGAATTTGACTTTCGCAACAAAAAATTGCAACGTGAATTTGACTTTCGCGTTGCGAATTCAAGGAAACCACCTTAAAAAAGATAACAGACAACAATCTGATAAGTGATAACTACTGAACAGATCATAGAAATGTTCAAACCCAAGTTACTAATGTATGTCTAACTGAAAATGTATGCATTCACATATAAAATACACATAATACAACGTTTGCATTTAAAAATCACCTAAGTTAATAAGTCCCAAAAGGTGAAGCCGGTTGTGATTGGGATTTTTTTATTGCGATTTTGATTTCCTTTTGCTTTGCATCATATGAGATTTGGATTTTGATGAGGATCCATATTTTGGTAGAGGAAAAGATGATTTTGATGGCAATGGTGATCCACAGGTCAACCTTGTATGACCACTTTCCTTGCACCGACTACATGTCGATATCCTCTTCTCTTTACCCTAAGACGGTATACGATCGTGATTTTTTGGTCGGCCAGGTAGCCTGTTGTCCATGACTGGTGGCAAAACTGTTTGTAAGTCATCTGGTACGTCCCACTCAGAATGATGTGAAATAGGGTAGACAATCTCCATATAAGTCTGTCGATATACTTCTGTAGTGTAGCAATCCATAGCGTATGCGCTTGAATCATCTTGGTTTAGATGAAGAGCAACTTTTATAACATGGCCACATGGATAACCAGATGTTTGCCATTTCATACAACTACACGTCTTTAAATTTAGATCGTCAAGCCCATTTAAGTTATTATCCAATACTTCAAACAAAGTGTTTGAACATGGTTCAACTCTCCATGACGTTGTCTCTACAACACGTTTCGTTATCTTTTTTCAGTTCATGGTGTAACAAGACGTTCCAATGTTCCTGTAAATTTAAATAAATAATACTTAGTAAAATATATAAATATGATAAGTTACGAATTTAAATAAATAATACATGCATGGTTTCTTTTCTTGTAGTACCACTGTTGAATAGAGGCTCGAAAAAACTCCATTAACATAGTAATGGGTAATTTTCAGGAATGACGTCATGAAACCATATCTTGCTCCGAGTTGATGTACTCTTGACTATCTTTCAAACCCGACATCTTCTAGTGTTTGAGCATATTGAGGCAAAACACATCTTAAACAATTTATATGCTTATTAAAATCCACTTCCCGATATGCTTTTACAGCCTTCCAGTATGTCCATTTGTGATTTTTTATACCAACAGACATTGATTTTAGATTTCTGTACAAATGAACACCACAAAGTCCATGAAAAGCATCTGGGAAACACGTTATAACAACGTTGTCAATTGAGTTTGCCCTATCGGATATGATTGTCAGATTGCTAATAGGACCAATGCAATCCCTAAGATGTCCCATAAACCATGTCCATGAATCAGAGGTTTCAGATTTGCCAACCTCGTAAGCTATTAGCAATATCCCATTGTTAGCATCCATGACTACTGCTAATAAGTTTACTCCAAGGTATCGACCTTTCAAATGTGCTCCATCAACTATAATAACTTGGCGCAGGCAAGTAATAAACGAACGAATCTACAAAATAATATACACAAGAAATATAATCATTTATATGTGAAATGCATGTAACTAACAAAATTGAGTTAACAAAATTATATTGATTTACTAACCGCAGCACCAATGGCGATAAACAACAACTCAAAGTGTCCACCTCTATCTGTTTTGATATGAGTTATTGACCCAAGATTTTTCAGCTTTAAATTGTGACAATAAGCCGGCAGTTGGGCAAACGATGCTTCTGCAGACCCCCTCAACAATTCCAAGGCATAACATTTGGCTCTCTAAGCTTGAGAATATGATATACTAATCTTGAACCGAGCATTCATGTCAGCCATAATTTCATGCCCCCGATATACCCTGTCATTCAAAAACATTAACTCAGCCAGAAAACCACCCAACACCTTTTTGTTTGCCTGTCTATGGTGAGGAAAAACTTGGGTTCTTGAACATGTATGTTTATCAATAAAAGTTCTAACTTGAAACATTTCGCAATCTTTTATCCTCTTTGCAATCATATGCCACGTACAGTTTTTGTCAATCATACACTTTGTTTCTAAACGATCTTTGCTTGATTTGTTAACTTTTAGTTGATAGCCATCTTCCACACATTTCGTATACAAAGCTATCTTCAAGTCTTCCTTTGTATCAAAACAATCATATTTATTGATACGAATAACTTTTGTGTAACAATCAACTGCTATCTTTACCAACTCTTCTTCCGGTATCTGAAGTAATTCTCGCATATTTCAGTTATACTCCCGTGGCATTTTCTTCTTTTTCTTTTCTTCGGGGGCTTCTTCTTTTTTTCCTTTTTCAGGGTTATATGAATTACAGAATGGATGTTAAATGTGTTCATTCACAGTCGTAACTTCCTCCTCATTATTATCAACAACATCTTCCTCGGCAGCGACTGTTTCATCATCAAAATTCGGGTATTGACCAATATCAAAATCATTACACGCAGGGTTTGTTTCTTCTTCTGAAACATCATCAAAATCCGAGTATTGACCAAGATCAAAGTTCGAGTATTGACCAAGATCAAATTTCGAGTATTGACCAAGATCAAATTTCGAATACTGACTAGTACTCACAATTTTTTCTGTTGGCTCATAATCGTCTAACTGATCAATACGAAAACCAAAATTTGGTGTTGAAAGTTGATTGGGATTTGGATTAGAAAAAGGTTGTGGGTTTTGAAATTGTGTTTGGTATTGGAAATGTGGTGAAACAAAATTTTCTTGGTGATGAAATTGTGGTGGAACCATTAAATTTTGAGGTTGATAACAACGTTGTACATTGTGAGCACCATAAACAGGGGTTGAAGAACTTAGTTGATTACTACCCGCTACTGACCCAACTTCACTACTTCTAGGTTCAACAACATACAATGTAACACCATCTTCTTGCGAAACACTAATGTAAGCAATGAATCGTTCAACATCTTCATTGTCGGTTAACAAATAAACTTTACATTTTCTCTGATAAAATAGCCTAAATCCACTTAGAGGCTCTAAATTCAATTTCTTTGCAACACGTAACATTAGAGTTTCATAAGTTATCTTTTTTAATGACAGTTTTAGTTGAAGATTCATGGGTAAATGCATATTTTGTAAAACACCATGAACATTCTCCCATGACCCTCCAAAACACAAATCTATCCAAACATGATCAACATTAGATGATTTCATTATATAAATTGTAAATTAATTTACTAAACAAACGAGTTATAAACTATATATCATCACTAACTTAGAGAAAAACATACCTTTATTAAGTTGATAGTTGATAATTTGAGAGAGAAATCATTGAAAAATTATATAGAAATAAAATTATGTAAAAAAATTAGAGATGGGGAAAGATGTTGTTGGATATAGAAACGGATGTCGTCGGAGAGAGTGAGAGATGGAGATGGAATGAGTTGCGATTTAGGGATTTAGGTTATGAGTTGCTGCTGCTACGTAGTTTATATACCCAAAATATTTGTGTTGCAAAAATAAAACCTATTGCGAAATTAAAATTTGTGTTTGTGAATTCGAAAATCGAGTTGCGAAAACAAAATTAGTGTTGCGAATTCAGAAATCGAGTTGCAAATTTGAAATTCAGTGTTGCGAATTTGGAAAATCGCGTTGTAAAATTAGAGTTCGCGTTGCGCATTTGTTGGTCAATTTTCACAAATCTAAAAAAAATTAATTAAAATCATATATTATAAGACATTTTCTGTCACTGAAATTATTTTCTCTAAAAAAAAAATTTCATACATCTTAGTGATTTTGGATTGGGTGATATATAGCATATATGTGTGTATATGTGTACCTAACTTTTCATGTACTCAGATAGGTGTGGATGATTGATTGATTGATACTGTGGTTTTAGAACCCCACTCTCAACGTCGCCTTCATGTATTTGCAATCAAAATCGTTTCTTGATTTTGGGCATTGCTTGTCCTTTCCCATTTCACACTGTGGATAATATTTATATTATTTTATTTATTTAAGTATTATTATTATAATAATTTTTCTTTTTATTTATGTAAATAGTATATAATTTTTTAAAAATATATTATTATTTAACTTTCATATAAATTGTGCTTTTTTATAAAAAAAAATACCTATGTGAATATGACTTGTCTTTATTGATATGATAAATACAACATCCTGATTTTATATTGACCAATATTAAAATAAAAAGTAAACTATAATTATGAAAAAAACATACAATATCAATTAATATCTTTAATAGTTGATTAAATAATAATTTTAATGAATTTATTAAGTGATTTCGGTGGTTAAAGGGATAATTATTCTCTTTAGAAGCCTTAGGTTTGAGTAGTTGCGTTTGTAAAATGTATATGCGTTGTCAATGACTAACAAAGATTATGAACATATATTATCTTATAATCACCTCGGACTATTTCAAAATATATATATTAGAGACATTTTTTGTCATTCTACTTATAAAAAATAATAATAATATTATTTAAAAAAAATATTAAAAATCAATTAAAAGGATGGTATCAAAATTAATTTATGGAGGATTACGAATAACTATAAGCAAATGATATTAAAAAAAAAATAAAATAATAGTTGATGATAAATTATTAAAACACGAGTAGTGGAGAAATTGTTCATTATAGTTGACGACAAATTATACGAAAAATATATGAAAGTATAACAAACCTTAATGATAAATATATATAGATGTAAGAATATAATAATACTAGTTGAATAAAGTTATATTTATGTTCTCTCTCAATTTATATAATTTATTAAATAAGTTACGTCATAATTTTTTAAATAAAATAAAACAAAATTTAAATTACAAACTCGAGAGATAAATTCATATTTATTAAATATATTATATTGATGTGAAAATAGTTTTTTTAACAAGACTAAGAGACAACTATGGATGCTATCCGTCCTTGTAATATAAACAAAGATACAGAAATAAGAAAAGGTTAAGAACAAATATGGTTTCTTTAGTTTAGTGATTAGTTGAAGACTTTAAGATTTTCCCTTTTATACTTAATCAAAAAGTGCACTTGAATCCTACTTGAAAGGGCATTCTAAAATTCAAATTCCTCCATTATGCCATATGCTTTCACTCACTCCAATTCCATGTTTTTCAATTTTTTTTTTATTTATTAAAAAAATAATCAACCCACTTAATCCATGGACTATAGATATAAGGGGGATGAGGGAAATACAGATTAATCCATTTATTAAACGTATAATTAAAGATTATGAAATTTTATACAAATATTGTTTTTAAAAATTATAAAAAGCAATTTTAATAACTGAATTTTTTTTAATAAAAGAAAAGTTGCATCGTCATCGTCCAAGTGCTGGGATAAGGGCACTTAAAGTCCACTAAGGATTGTCTAAAGACGAAAGGACGTGAAAATGGTCTTGGTGAGGAGGAATGCACGACACAAAAGGGTCTCATTTCATAGGGTTTGCTTTGCTTTTCATCCGTACGTTTTTACAAATCCAAATTTTCACTCATTCTTTCTTTGTACTATTTAAGGAACTCGATGGCCTAAGTTGCTTTCATCACTGCCCCGGCCTTCTACCTTTTTCAATTTTTTTTTAATTCTAAGTAGTTGAAGATGACGAGGAAAGGGAATGAGATTGAACGAAGCCATCGCGCAAACTTGCAATTCGGCAGTTGAGGTTTTATACATCACTTCATTTATTAATGCTTGTAAGTTAATGGAGTTGGTCAAGACTTCTTTTTGTTGATTAAAATACAGTTAATGGTGATCTCAGTTTTATTAAAAATATAGCATGTTTTGAATTTTAATTATTGAAATTATGAATCTTTCAATTTAATAATGCGAGTATAAATGATTACACGTATGAATTAAATAGTAAAATTAGGTCACCGCTAAAACTAAACAGAGATAGAGGTCCCCTCGGACTAAGATATTCAACATTCCCCTATTAAATTTAATAATTATAGTTATTTAAAATTAATAAAAAATATGAATCAAACGATCTAAGTGATTAATGAATTGTTATTATTCCTCGAGCTCCCGGGTTTAAGCACCTCGTATGTAGGGTATGACCGTTCAATGTCAAATAATTGAGAATCTTTTGAACATATAATATCTTATATTCACCTCAGACAAATAAAAAAAAAGTCAATTGAAATTTTAATTAATTAAATTAGACTTAATGCAAAAATAAGTGTCAAATTTAAAATTTTATTATTTGACCTATGTCACTCAACAGTCAAATTTAACGGTGTTAACGGTCTAGACACCTAAAAGTACAACGTTAGAAACATTAAACACCTATTTTTAACGAATTTTTTTTTAAATACAAAAATAAACTTTAGATATAATTTTAACACTTATTTTTATATTAACTCGCTAAATTATTACAACAATATTAAAAGTATTGAGTTAAATGCACAACTTCATTCTATGAAGATTTAAGTACAAACATTAGATTTAATCAAATAATTTCCACATGACTGGACATAGAATGACGAAATTATTAACATGAACTGTAATATGGAATGCAAAGACGTGCAACGATGACGACAAAGCTGAAATTGGGCATATCTTCAACATTCCATGCTTCACATTTGATTTACTTTCTCGTTTTCTGGTTTAAGCTGACACCTGGCATGGTATCCCCATGTCTCTTGTATGTTATATCTTCGTTTCGTAAGCCATGTGAGAAGGACAAAAACAGAAACATGAAGTTGGTTGCGTTAGTTTAAATGCATTTTGTTCGGTTACTGAACTAACTACTAACTTGGCTCATTTGTTCAGCTTACATGTAAAGATACGCAATCTATATGAAATAATGTTTCTCAACAAACATATATGTAAACTAACAAACTGAAAAACATAAGATTTCTTGTAGGCTTAAAATACAGTTTCATGGGTTCTATACTTATTATTTGCTCAAAATTTGGGCATTTCAATCCACTGCTTTTACTTGACTTACAAGTTTTCCTGAAATGAGAGGAAAAATAACCCCAATGTAATGTAATCATTTTGACAGAGACCTCCACTTATTATTCTTCACGAAGAAGCTTACAAACTAAGTCGTCATTTTTTTCTGGGACAAAATAACCCTCTGTTACACCAGAAAAAAAATGTACTTAAATTGTAAACTTAAGTAAAGAGAAAAGAAAAAAGATTGGAATAGTTACAAACAAAATATTACATTACATTGGGGATTAAGGTTGGATCTTTAATATAAATGAATGATCGTACACAGTCTATAAACTTAAGCAGAGAGATCTGAACCAGAGAATTGGAATTTGGATCTTTGCTTTTGTGGATAACAAGCTCATTGAGCCATCTCATTTTCCAACCGGCGCAACAGTTGGAATCTTCTTCCTTGTGGGGAATAATGGCTGAAACTGTTATGAGCATTGAAAAGGCTATACAAATTTACCTATAACTTTTTTTATCCTGGGGAATAATCCAAAGGTGGTAAATTTTCCTAACCATCCCTTTCCTTTTTTCTTTCACTGATGAAAAACTCGGAGGGAAAATTAATCTAAATGGTCCAATATGTACAATCAATCGTCAAGTTGCCAATCCGAAAGGTACAGGGAAATGCGGCGGCTTGGGTGGCTTCTCCACTTTTACTTCGACCTTGTCTTGCCGTGGAGGTTGACATGGACATGGTAATGCTATGAACTTCGGGATCTGGTCTCCCGGCATTAATACAGGCAAGCTTTGGCTTTGGTTTTGCTTCAAATCCTGAAATACAGTAACACAACCTAACCTTAAGGCTGAATTCTCATCTCAGTTTTTTGTTTTTGTTTTTTTGAAATATTGTGAGACACAGAGAGAGATTTAACCGTGAAATCAGGCATTGGTTTGGAGGGAGAAGCTTCAGTGTCGGCGTCGGGATGGGAACCGTCGGCGAAAGGTCGGCGGAGTGATCTGAGCTTGTCCAGTGGTAGCAGCAGGAGAAGATGCCACTCAAGCTGAAAATGATGATCAAGAGGAGAGCTGTGCCAAGAGGGAACCCGAGGGACTGTCGAGATGCATCCACATGGGGCGGTGAAACAACCTGATTCTCCATCGCATAGACTCCTCTTGTCCGATAATGAATTAGCGCCTGTCTGATGCTCCTTCTCTCATAAGTAGGGGGGGTGAAACAGAAAGAAAACGGTGGTAAAGACCCTGCAAAATTGGGGTATATGAGAGTATATTTAGTGTAGATGTTAATAGGCTGAAGGAAATTTGAGGAGGCGAATGGGAAGGGAGGGATTTTATAAAATGAAGGGAAGGTGTTTACAGTGTACATGACCAATAATAGTACAATGTGGAAAGGTGCACCGGCAAATGTCCTTGCTGTCCGGGCCATAGTACGGATTTTAGTGGGTCCAAATGTTTCGTTTTAGCCATGATCCAAGGAGTGGTATTTTTTTTAAGAGAAAATAATTTCAGTGAAAAAAATGTCTTATAATATATGATTTTAATTAATTTTTTTTGGATTCGTCAAAATGACCAACTAAATCGTAATGCGATCGATAATTCGCAACACGATCTCCGGTATCGCAAATCAGTTTCCAGATTCGCAACGCGATTCTGACTATCGCATTGCGATTTCCCAAATTCGCGTTGCGATTTTCCTAATTTGCAATGCGAATACGTAAATCGCAACGCGATTACGTAAATCGCAATACGAATTAGGAAAATCGCAATGCGAATACGTAAATCGCAATGCGAATCTGATTATCGCAATGCGATTTACATAGCGCCATTCGTATTAACGCGTATTTTTTTCAAATTTCAAACACGAATTTCTTAATATATCGGAAACTGAACCGTCCACAGTATATTCCGTAATCGCAACTCATAACCTAAAACCTAAAATCACAACTCAGTCCCATCTCCATCTCTCACTCTCTACGGCGAAATCCGTCCCCATCGCCGGCGAAATCCCTCACAACCATTCACGGTCAGAAATCCCTCACAATCATTCAGAAATGGAAAATCAACCTCCGATGGTTAGTTTTTTTAATTATTTTTATTTTGAAATTTTTGCATTATTTTAGGTTTTTCATATTGAAATTGATGATAAGTTTACTGGTAATTTCAATAATAGATTAACCATTTCACTTAGATTTCTTATTAAATTCATTCGATTACTGCCAATACTGCTAAACTGTTTAGTCTTTAACCCTGTGAAGTTAGTATTTGTCTTTGTTTTGTCTTTTGGTTGAAGTAATGCAGAAGAAGAATAGTTTCTAAACTTAAAATCGTAACATGAAAATGAAAATCGCAACGAGAGAAATGAAAATCTCAACGAGAGAATCGCAACGCGAAATGAAAATCGCAACGCGAAACCAAAATCGTATTGCGATTTTCATTTCGCGTTGTGATTTTAATTTCGTGTTGCGATTCTCTCGTTGCGATTTTCATTTCGCGTTGCGATAGTCATTTCCGCGTTGCGATTTTCATTCTCTCGTTGCGATTTTCATTTCAACCAAAAGACAAAACAGTATTACAAATCTTAGTTTCAAGAATAAACTACTATTTATGTTTATTGTTTTTGGTATATCTTCACAGTGTAGTTTTTGGTATATCTAACTTGGTATGTTTATTGTTTTTGTAGAAATTTTTTTCGCCTTCATTGACATTAAGGAATAAAGTTAGCCTAGCCACTACAATTGCTTCGAAGCTTTCACCTGCACAAAGAAAATTGTTTGAGGAAACCTGCTTCGGGCCATAGCTGAGAGTACAGCATCCGGGTGGAGATGCTAATTTGACCCATTTGTGGCTTCAGACCATGACTAGCGATCTACCCGACAGTATACAACGTGGTGAGGAAGAGATATGGTTTCATTTTCCACCGGCGTATACTTGTTTTGGGCGGAAGGAGTTCTGCTTAATCACTGGTCTACGATTCGGACACGATGATGTAGGCCGGTACACTCGTCATATCACCCGCCCATCATGGTTATCCAGGGTTTTTCCTAATGAGTCAATAGAGAAGCCGAACTTACACGTCGACGACCTGAAGAAATTGTTTAATAAGAAAGATGGTTTTACTCAGATGAATGACGTCGATGTTGTCCGAGTATGCCTTCTACTACTTTTGTATGCTGGCTTTATAGGCAGAGAGGCCATACAACCTATTCCTCATGAGCTAATATTATTGGTAGAGGACCTAAATGCATGAAATCTGTTTCCGTGGGGTTCGTATATATGGAAAGCTACCTGGACTAAGTTGTCGTCTGCCTTTGATGACCGCAAAAGTTTGCATGGCGATGGGTCGAAATACACTTTGTCAGGCTTTGTTTGGGCCTTTAAGGTAAGAATTTCTATATAATGTTTTCAAAATTATAATTAATTATTTAACAATTACTAATGTTTGTTATTATATTGTTTGTAGATTTGGATATTCGAGGCTTTCCCCAGCATGCGGACATATGCATTAAAAACTTCAAATGATATTCCTAGGGCTATTTCCTGGAAGAGGAAACGTCTGTTGGATTGGGAAGACTTAATACCATATGCGACAATAAATAATGTAAGTTAACACAAATACTATCATATATAAACAAGTTATTAATAGTAGACGTTTAACTTTGTTTGAGTTTTTATATTTTTAGGAGGCTAACACTCCATTAATGAGACTGACACCCACGGAGGCTGAGCTTGCCACTGATTGGTGGCAAGCTAGTCAGCGTTTTCTTGATGGCACGAATGATGAGCAACCTCCACTTCCTCCACTTCGAGAGCCATCACCTCACCCAGAGCCATCACCTGATCGACCCGACTATACACCTCTATAACGAGAGCCATCACCTATCCCGTCACATCATCGAGCCTCTTCTCCACTATCACCTCATGATAGGCGACCGACAAAGATGCCACGACTTCTATCTCCCTGTTCTCCACCTCCACCTCCATGGGATGAGTCAAGGGAGTTACGTGATGAGGTCAATGCCTTGCGTGAGGAGATTGGTACTCTACGCGATAACGATGGTGCATGGCGTGTGGAGGTGTCTACTTTACGTGGTGAGGTTGCCACTCTACGTGAGATGGTAGTATCGTTGCAGAATGAGGTTCATACTCTACGCAACGAGGTAAGTGTTTTAGGTTTTAGTGTTTAGGGTTAAGTACCTAGAATTCAATAATTTGATGTTTGTAGGTTTTAGATGTGTAGAAAGTGTTGTTTGAGCAAATGTTTGGTTTCTGCAGGTTAATCTCAGAAGTGAGCTGCGTGAAAATGATGTATGGCTGCAAAAGTTGATTCAATAGTATATGAGGAAATAAGAATTATTGCTTATTTTTTAATTGTTTAATTGATTTGTAAAATATGATTTGTAAAAGTTGATTTGTTTAATTGATGTGAACATAATTCTTATGTGTGCTTGTTTAATTGATTGAAATGTAATGGTTGATTTTGTTGATTTCAATCTGCATTATGTTGAAGGCAAAAATGACTATCGCAATGCGAAATGAAAATCGCAACGAGAGAATCGCAACGACAAAATCGCAACGCGAAACTAAATTCACGTTGCGATTTTCATTTCGCTTTGCGATTCCCTCGTTGCGATTTTCATTTCGCATTGCGATTCTCTCGTTGCGATTTTCATTTCGCATTACGATAGTCATTTCCGCGTTGCGATAGACATTAAGATGATTGCGAACGTCATTTCCGTGTTGCGATAGTCAAATGAATGCCTAATAAGTGATAACAACTGAAAAGATCATAGCAATTTTCAAACTCAAGTTACTAATACATGCCTAACTGAAAATGTCAAAAGTTCACACATAAAATCCACATAATACAACGTTTGCATTTAAAAATCACCTAAGTTAACAGTCCCAAAAGGTGAAGCCGGTTGTGATTGGGATTTTAAAGATGATTGCGATTTTGATTGCCTTTTTCTTGACACCATATGAGCTTTGGATTTTGATGAGGATCCATATTTTGGTAGAGGAAAAGATGATTGTGATGGCACTGGTGATCCATATGTCAACCTTGTATGACCACTTTCCTTGCATCGACTACATGTCGATCTCTTCTTCTCTTCACCCTTAGACGGTATACGATCGTGACTTTTTGGTCGGCCAGGTAGCCTTCTGTCCATGGCTGGTGGCAAAACTGTTATTAAGTCATCTGGTATGTCCCACTCAGAAGGATGTGGAATAAGGTAGACAATCTCGCCATAAGTCTGTCGATATACTTCTGTAGTGTAGCAATCCATAGCGTATGCGCTTGAATCATCTTGGTTTAGATGAAGAGAAACTTTTATAACATGGCCACACGGATAACCAGATGTTTGCCATTTCATACAACTACACGTCTTTGCATTTAGATCGACAAGCCCATTTAAGTTATTATCCAGTACTTCAAACAAAGTGTTTGAACATGGTTCAACTCTCCATGACGTTGACTTCACAACACGTTTCGTTATCTTTTTTTCTGTCCATGGTGTAAC